AGTAGTAGTAGTAGTAGTAGTAGTAGTAGTAGTAGTAGTAGTAGTAGCTGAGCAGTAGAAGGAGGACTAGAAGTAGAAGTAGTACTATATATTTAGTGGAAGTAGTAGCAGCAGCAATAGTAGTTCTAAGCAGTAGCCGTTGGAAAAGCCATGCATAAGTCAAGGCAGGATCTTAAAGGGAACCAATCCATACCCATCCAACAACTGAACAATAGAAAGCTAAACTAAGCTCGGAGATGTTTCCCCGGGCGTGTTCGACCCCCGGGACTATTTCAGTTCGGTGCTCGTGGACTATCCGTTTGATGTCGTTTTGGGGGGAATGTGTTTTGATCCGTTTAAAATAGAGCTTAAAGCATGTTTTAAGTTCCGACGTGGAAGATTCAAGCAGAAACTAAGCAAGGATCTGAAAGGGAACCAAATAGCTGATGTTCTTCTTTTAAAGCAAATCTCAGTAAACACGCTTTATTGATGTTTATTTAAGACCCATCACTTGAAGTGCTGAAAAAGAGTTCAGAAGTTTGGAATTTGGATGTGTTTTGTGTGGTTTTTTTTTGCACTTGTTTTGTTCGCTTCTACATTGGTAGTTTAGGATGTAAATTTATCGATATACAAAGACCTCTATGTATCTCAAGGGGGTGGTGGTACAAGAGGTTTGGGCGAGGTTCAGGTTCAATGTGGGTGGGAGTTGCCGACGAGATTCCTTCGAACCTTCCTCTGGAGGAATTTTGATACTGATACAGGACAAATGGATCAATTTGTGGTTTGCCCACTCGCACAGGCTCCTCTTTGTCCTGGTTCGCGTGATTTCATGTTGGTTCGCATGTGACTTTCTCTCGAAACCTCAAAACAGAATGGAAGACCATGGAAGACCCAAATGACTCCCAGACACTCCATGCATGGCATATTTACGAAACCACCCCGACCCCAACTGATCGGCATATATGGCAGTCCCATGGAGTGTTTGGGACTGGCAGTCCACCCACCCGAACACTCAGGATGTGCCTGCGGCTATCGTTCGACTCCCGGTTTTAGCGCGGCTATCGTGCGGGGTCGATGGTGTTCTGAACACCGAGGAAGCGCCAAACACTCCGAGCGAACAGTTGGATTTGGCTCTCAACAGTTGGGCCTCTGTAAAGTCTCAACAGTTGTGCACACGTCCTGTATCCTGTTTTTCACTGATTTTGGATGCGATCGATACCCACCCCATCAGAAAAGAGCGTCCCCATGTCATGCCATGAGTGTAGATGCTCAGTGAAGCTCTAGAGTTCTGATAAATCAGGGGATGAGGCCAAATCGCACGGAAACGCATTGGAACGTATTCGGCTTGCTTCAGGGAGCTCGCTGAAAATTGTCTCATAGCCCCAATCCGCAATCAGTTGGACATTGCAGACAGTCACAGACGATGACCCGAATGCTCCCAGCTCGCAATTTGCTCCATGTATCAGGGTTGACATCGAAGAATGACTTCCACACACTCGAGAAAGCTAGGATGGTTGCATTCTCCTAATGAATGACATACTAGTTGTCGCTGTGGGCCAACCAATGCCCGTCACAGCACTCATTTCAATCCATTCTCTCTGAGGTTTTTGCTGCGGCTGCAAGCTTCCGGGAGGCGCGTAGGATTCGTGAGATGACGTATGACTAGTGCTGACGGCGTTCCACTATAGGCTAAGTCGTTTTGCCATGTTTTGCCCATGTTTTAGGAACCTAACGTGAATCCCCACCATAATGAACCGCCAGTTGAACCGCCCGATCAACTCTCCTCATGTTTCCAGTTACAAGCAGCGGTCTCCACAAAGATGAGCAGTCTCTACAAAGCGCCAGGTCATGAGCCCTGCAGCTGCGAGCAGTGGAAGGCAGAAGAGCTTCTCTTTTCGCTCGTCTCCAAGTCTTTCCGGACGACCTGTTACCCCGCAAACTACCGCCATTTGACTGAGTTCCATGAGCTGCTGCTCAAGGTGAGGAATCTGACTTTCGTGACTTTGATTGACCAGCTCTGGAGTAACTTGCTCAGGTGAGTTGAACAGGTGTTTGGGATGATGTCAAACAAGCACGATGAGTCATTCATGTTAGGGTCATTCCCTGTTTGGGATGATTCCCTATATTTATATATATAAATTATTGGGGTTGCAGTGCAACCGCCTCAGTCTGAGCGAAAGAAGCCTCAAAGGTTAACAAATCTATGGGAAGCTACTGAGTCTCAGTATAGTTTGGAAGGTGAGTGTGTCCCTATCATGAGAGCTTGTTCCATGTTTCATGAAAACCAAAAACAAAGGAACAGCATGCTGACACGGGCAGATCGTACCATGGGAACGGGGAACGCTGCTCTTGAACTCGGTCAAGCCCTTGAACTCCTTCCCTGTGGAGTAGTGACCCCTTATTCCCAGATCAAAAACAGGTCAGTGGAACATGATGGAACATGCGTTCTTTCCACTAGAGGCCATAAAGGGATGTATAACTCTTGTTCGATCCGGGCATGTTTGAAACAGGTGAAGGTTATTTTACAAGCTCTTCCAAGCTGAAGCTTTCAATCTGCCATGTCACACAATGCTTGGTTCCACTGGAAATATTGGCCAATTGACTGCAGCCACCGCTATAGCTTAGCCCTGGAAGAGCCTGCAAACCTTGATTCCTTCTTCACGTGGTAGCTGGACTTCTTTGGGTTTGATTTCCAGCCACCCTCGCTCGATCTCATCTCAGGGTCTTCCGTCCGCAAACCGGAAACACAAACGACGGAACTGGTCACGAAGGTTCAGTAGCACAAGCTGTGGCCGTTTGAGCTACGGTGTTCCTCTTGAAAGCTTCACCTGAACCAACAGCTACCTGGGTCTGTCTTCGAAGACACCCAAAGACATCCTGGAAGAACGAACATCCTGGAAGAACGAAAACAGACCAACACAGAGGGTCTCGTTGCGGAAAACAGACCACACACCCACATGTTGTCCAAGAACCAAGGGTCAGGTCCAGCCATGTACAGGCTATGAAAGGAAGAAAGCGGTGGGGTCCAGCCTTTGAAGAAACTGAGCTGATGCATACTCTGCACCCTGAGAATTGAACTTTGAAAGACCAACAATTCCGCTGCAACCGATTGGGCGGCTCTTGAGGTTCTGGTTTGTTTGAGGTGCACTACGCCCTGTTACTATCACAATCAAGACTATGACAACCCGAGAAATTGCCGACTGGATTCACTTATTGATTCTATGTACCTTCGCAGATTCCTCAGTGGCTGGATGGAAAATCGACCGTCCCGTTGATCAAAATCATCGATGTCCTATGATGTCCTCCGGTTTTTGGGCTTAGTAGTTTATCAATCATCGATCATTGGTTCCCTCCGATTTTGAGATGACCGAATCACCCGAACTTTAAAGAAACTCCAGGCTTGGATTGACGCCCATCCACAGCTCGAGCAGCAGCAGAAAGAGCGGAAGAAGCATTTGGACCACCGGGGCTGCGCTGGGAAGTTGTTCGGGGAGGTGATGGAGGCTGGTCACCAAGGGTAAAATATCCATGGGGAAACCCAACAGTTTGGCCATTCAGTCAAACAGATCGACCAGGATCATCCAATGAGTGTCCAATGGCTGCTTAGAGATCTCCATTGGACCCATTGGATGATCCAGGTAGTTAAACCTGGGGTTTGTAATCCTCTAGAGTGGCTGGTCGGTTGGTCCATGGTTCTGATTGAGCCACAGTCAAACCCTGCCAGTTGCATCATATTATTAGATTAAATTAAATGTCTATTCGGATTCATTACAAATTATTCATGATTATTCAGGGCATAAAAGAGTTAAACCGGAAGGTAGCCAGATGCACCCAGTGATTCCAGCTGCTACAGCATATAGAGGGTGCCTCTTCAGGGCGGGCCATGGCAGCCAGAGATATACGCCTTTCGGTCCAAGTTCGAGCCACTCGACTAAGATCTGCGGGGTTTGGGGGGTCTCAAGCAAATGTACGTTTTCTCGGCATTTGTGGTGGGGAAGGTTCACGATCCAAGGGATCCAAATGAATAGCCTGGTTTTGCTTAGTGTGATGTCCATATTTTCCCTGTTTGTGAATCAAAGGGGAAGAACGTTTTATACTGTTTTCCGGTTTCTTAAGCAGATGCAAGGTAGGGACTGGATGGGCTTTGCTGGGTTAAGATCTAGAGGCACCCCTGGATCCCGATTGCGCAGATCTGCCAGGGTGGGCAGGTGGTTGAAATGCTTTGAGTGTCGATCGGTTCAAAAATCCCTCGGTGGCGGGACTCGCATCCATCAAGCCTTTGCAGTGATTAGACAGACCGCCAGACAAGGGTCTTTGAATTGAATCAAGAACAAACAACTTCGCAGATGCCTTTCAGCAAACATGCCATGCAAGATAGACAGATGGTCACTGTGCAAAGCACCGTGTTTGTTCTCGGCACCAAGTGGGTAGTTTTCAGTGGCCTCTCGACACCCTCGAGAGCTCTTTCCGCCCTGACTCCAAGATGTGTGAACTACCTACTCTCGCTGGCCTCCAAATGGAAACATGAGAATGGATGAGAACGTCCACGGATTTGACGAGCCGTTTTCGTCGCCGTTTTCCCTAGCCGATGAAATCATATGTCTATTTTCACCCCAACATATCAGTACTCCAAAGATCATCCACCACTCCCAGCTCGTCCTTACACGCGCCGCCATGGCCGGAACTGGGCTCGCGCGATGCTGCAGAGCCGTTGCCGGCGAAGCTTGTTGAGCATCGGGATCCAAGACTATGCGTTCCGACCCTTGAGGCACCGGGGAGCGAACAACCGGCTGAGCGAAAAGGGAGGGTAGGAACTTCAAGTTGGAACTTCCAAAGTTTGATCAAAGCTGATTGGTCCTGAAAACGGTGAATACCAGACGTCCATGTAGAAGTTTGGATTGTAAAGACAACATCTGCCCATTTCGGATTGTAAAGACTCTTCATGGGGCCTGAAATATCATCTCTCTATAAAGTAAAAATCTCTATATATATATATATTATATATACTATCTATACTATATATATATATGTGTACACTATAACTGTAACATACAGAGGCAGGCCAAAAGTTGGTAACAAGCCTGTGGATACATTACATACAACCCTTTCCCCCTTAGAATGCTACAGAGGATCACAGTGGAGGCGGATTAATTTCCACCCCCAAAGTAAATTACACCGAGGTGGAAACAAAAACACCGGAATGCCATTGGGAAAGAGAAGTCGGTGAGATTCTCGAGTGAAGTTGTTACCAAACGGTGTTCCTCTTAAAGTGTTGCTATTATTACTGCTACTGTATACTGTATAACGACACACCCATCTCCTTTTTTCCCATCTCTAGTCTTCCATGTCTTCTTGATTCTAGGCATGCGACAAAGGATGCAGAGATTCTGGCCTTCAAGTTCCAAACCCGGAACTACCGGACCCAGATCGCATGCAATCTCCCTGAGACTTGGCTGCTCTTTATTGGTTGTGTGTTGTAGCTTCTCTTCAGTGGTTTGAATAAGATGTCACAGGATGAAGATTGATTTACCACTTTGGGTTTTTGGTTTTCATGGTTGTTCTGGCATGGTATGCGGATGTATGGCGTTTAGATCTACATCCAAAACATGACTTTGCTGGAACCTCGTTGTGGGATTTTTGCGGCTCTTTCATGTTGATCCAAAGCAGTGTGTCCTCCGTGAGCAGTGAGGACAGAGACTCCATCAACCAAGCAATTGACGAGTTCTCATCCAGCTGCATTGAAGATGCCACAGAGCTGATTGTGGTGTACTTTGCAGGCTATGCTGTCGCCACCGATCGTGGGAGAGTACAGTTGCAGCTACAGAAGGCAGCTCACGCTGAAGCTTGGTGATGAGAACGCTGCCTTTGAGAAGTATCATATATCTTCAACCAGCATAGCCCAAATTTCAGGGGAAAGAAGGTTTAGTAGGACGATGCTTCCCAAATACCCCTGTTGCATGGGACATGGGAGTTAGGTCGAGGTAGGTTGCTTCAGGAGAAAGGAACTGCTTATTGATTGTTCGATCCCAATCGTTTAATCGTATGGCTTTCTCAGCAAGTACCCGACAGACCCGACCAACGCGTTAAAAATCAACACTTTTAAGTTAAGGAGTTCCCTCATTTGAGAATAGGATGTTCCTACCAGTTTCTGTGAACTGGCAATCAGACTCTTGGTTGGCCGCAGTTATCCTAAATTGAGACCTTCATCCCGGTGTGCACCGCCAATCCTTTCACTTAGTGGTACGTGAAGACTCTTCAGGTTCCCTTTCAGGATCCATGTGCCTTCGTGTTGAGGCTGGGTGGCTAGAGTGCGAGGGAGGGTATCTAAAACACAAAGACCAAGCAAATGGAAGGCAGATGGTTTGCATCTGGGCCAGTGAATTTCTAGTTACTTGGGTCCTTTGCCTTTCAGGACGATGTCGAAGCAGCACATTGCATTGGTGTGGGCGACTTGCTGGAAAGGATGCTCCGTTTGAAAAGGCCGGGCTGCGCGGCTGCGCCACGCGAGACCCGCGAGACCTGGTGGCCTAAAAAAAGAGGTGAGGGTTGTTCCTCAACGTTTTTGTTGAATCTGGAGGTCATGTCGGAGCTGATTCATGGACTGTTGAGCTTCCGGTGGGTCTTCAAGTTGATTTCAACAATGCTGGGTGGATTTCTTCATGTTGCTGCATTTTATCATCAGACTATATAGTAGGAAGATAATCCTCGAGGCACCGTTGTTATTTCTCAATACTGTTTTCACGTTGCTTTCTCAAGATGACTATTGATGCCCCGTGGTATCAATTAGAGACATTGAGGACATTGTGCTTTCCTACAGAATACATAGAGAACTGTTGCCAAGAGATGGAAATATATGCAGACAAATGACTGGAAAGGCATAGTACCCAGTTGGATATGATATAAAGCATGTTTTATGACAACCATCCTTTTTGAGCCCAAACCTATATCCAGATATGGAACAGAGTGCTGAAAGGATTGCAAGGGGGCATCTTCTTTGAGCCTATAGTACAATGACTATATATATTTTGCTGGATATGGTCGCAGCAAGACGTATCAAGACCATCAAGTGTAAGTAGAAATTTGGAGTCATTTGATGTGACGATCTGTACCCAGCACAAGATGACCATTGGGATGTTTTGTCGCCCTTCCCTCCCAATATCTACCAGCGACCCCGGCAACCAACACAGTCCCGTTTGAACATGGCTCCTTGCGTCGAAGTTCCGAGGCGTCCCAGATGTTTCACCTTGGCCATCCTGGATTGTGCCTCCAAGACCAAACTGAAGCTTTTGGGATTCCCACATATCCCCATGAATGGTCTTCAAATCAAACATCAAAAGTCCAGTCAGATTGTTTTGAAAGAAGCTGCAGTTGTGAGGGATCACAACTTCAGACCTTGTTAATGTTGTTTCTTCCTTTTTCCTTTGGACCCAGTAAGACCTGGTCCTTTGGCTCATTATATGAATTATATGTTTTTGTATCATCAAGTCCACTACAATGAGGATTTTGACCTAGGGTTTCAGAAGGAATGCTCCCGGGTACCCGGTACCCAGAAGAACTGGCTTCCACGCTCAGGTGGCCACAGCCATGTGGAGCTTGGAGCACAGGAGGCCTCCACGCAACATTTGCCGCTGAATGGTCGCTGGGCCACACTGTGGTCGACAGGTGCACAGGAGAAGAAGATTGGAAGCTGATCAGATTGTGGATAGTAGCCGTGGTAGTAGCACATAGTAATGCCTGCACCAGCCAGAGACACCAGCTGGTGGCACCATGTGTGTAGTGAAACCAGCTAGTACATTTAGCTGATTGTGACTGTTTGTGTGTGTTAAAGCGAATTTAGGTGCTTGGGTTTCATAGACGTCATGACACAGGGTCGACCCTGACAATCGTAACGTGAGGATGGTTTGTGGAGCGAATCATTCAGAAGTTCGGAAGTGCGGTCACCTTTCCACACAGACTCATCGCTAGTAGTAACAGGTGCATCGCTTCTAGTAACAAGTGCCTTACTAGTAGTAACAAGAAGCTATTACTTAATTCTAATTTTCACCTTTCCACACAAATTCAGTGATGATATAACCATAGGCTGTTAACCGCACTTTGCGGAATGCAGGAGCCACAGCTCGTGGAAGCTGGCTATGGGCACCTTGTGTGTAGCTTGGTTTTGCTGATGCGGTGGTGTTGATTTTCCCGAACTGGGTGAATTGGCTTCCCATCCTTTGGCATGGAGAATATCTGTTTCACATATATATACATATATATACGTATTTGTTGCATCACATCCTGAAGCCAATCCAAGGTAGCATCTTGCATCACATGGTCATGGATCCGGAGCTGGAACTTCATGAGGTCACCGGACGCCTTCATCAGCACGTGATGTGCTCGACAGAAGCTCACGTGATGTGCGGGTTAAGGGATGACGCGTCGATTTTGAGGTGGATCGAGGATGATGGAGGTATGTATCAAGGTATGCAGGTTGGCCATTGATGGTGCAGGGTGAGCCGATTTCATATGATTTCCAAACATGTCCAAGCATTTCCTTAATTGGAATCAGATAGATTCAAAGATCTTAATTGTGAACCTGTTTCTGTTTTGTTCCCCTTGCTGGACCCTACCCTACTGAAGATCGCATCTCACATTTAGCTGCATTGTTTGGGTGTGTCATGCCTATCCTTCAAACAATCCGACGGTTGAAGGGGAACCATGTTGGGTTCCGTTCAGCCGCAGCCGCTTCTCGACGGTCTCGGGCTCCGTCCGGGGAAGCCCGAAAAGCCCGGTCGAGACGGTCGACGTCGACGGTGCGCATCGGATGTTCGCCCCACTCAGCGACCCTTTCAAAGTAGCTCCGAAAACCCTCCACCATCCGAGTAGTGGGGGGAAAGTGATTGGATCTTGCGGAGGGCCTGACGTCACCTGCAAGACACCAGTAAGAGTTCAATTTTCCCAAGCCATCCCATTTGTGGAGACACAATCACCTTTTTGGTAGCCTGTGGGACCTAGGACGAGTTCAACCCCCTTCAGCCGTCTTCCTTCCAACCCTACAGAAGGCCTATATAAACCCCCAAACCCGCCCATCCATCGGTCCAACTCCAGCTTCACCCTAGAACGATAGAAGTTTCCCCCGGCGACAAGTCCAAACTCAACCCACAACCACTGGCTCGATCGGAATGGACCAACCAAACCCAACACCACACCACACCAAACCACTCACCACCCCCCATCGATCCATCTGGGTTCTCACTAAAGGATGCGCAAAGCGTCCAGATCTTCGGCTCCACGGAGCATGCGCCCTTGATCTTTTCGCATGAAGTCTGGAGACCCGAGCCCCTTGGCAGCGCGGTCAGCGTCCCCAAGCGTTTGCCCCAGGTTAGGAGGACGGTGCAGGGTTGGGAGGTCGACAGTCGGTCGGTTTGGGCGGTTGGTGTTTCCAAAAAGGATATTATGATATTACAAAGGAAGGGAACATCGATTCCATAATTTTTTTGGCCTCCAGTCGTACCTTCTGAGGTTCGGTGGGACTGGGGGCCCGGGTCCAGTCATACCGAACCTGAGGAGGTACGACGAAGTCGGTGTAGGGTATATGATGATCCTATATGTCAACTTCTGTGTTTCTTCGGTCGGGACAACCGCAGACCTCGACCCACCCTAGGTCGCTGGCCTTGAGCACCATTGGCCGCCTGCGGAGCACCTCCTCGGTCACGGTGCGGCGGAGCCTCTCCGCGTGTCACCGAGCAGGAGGAGGTTTCGGTGTTCGGTGTTCGGTGCCAAAGAACAGAAAGCCAAGCTCACAGACTTCCCAGGAAATCCAAGAGACTGGTTTTTGTTGATGGCCAGCTTCAAGAATCGCCAGACCAGGTAGGAGACCCCGACTTTTTGCTTTTGGCATCTCTTTACACGACCTTTTGGTGATATCCAAGGCAACAGGTCCTGCGACTGCAAAGACTTTCCCAGCGACTTTAGGTGCCACCAGTTCTGGGGAGCCAATGATTCTACAGGCGACCAATTGAAGTAAATGTGTTTTTGTTTTTTCAGATTCAGATAGCCCAGTTTGGCCTACTAGAGCGGAAACCGGAAGACATCTCCCGGAAGAACACCAAACGGGGCAAACCCACTGTTGTATCCGAATCCCAGCATCGCCAGTAATGTAGTCCCGAACTGTTGATTCAAAAAGAACAAGAACACAGACATGGAATGAAACACCTCTTCAGGCCGGGGTGGGTCGACATATGTTGACATATATATATAATATATATATATATATATATCATATATACCAGCATCCTCCAACAGGTCACCACCTGCCGCTTTTAAGTCTACAAAAGTCACCAGAGGAGACCTGTTGGAAGGTGCTGGTATTTTATTATATATAAGATTAGCTTAATCAGGTTGGTTTGCAACATCTCCGCAACGTCTCCGGTCTCCGCTGGGATTCTCTCCCAGGTTGTTCGCGACTCTCCGCCCAATGCCAGGGTTGCTCTCGTCACCGCCTCTTGGATGTTGAGATGATCCAGGGAAATGCAGGGAGAGTGACCTGAGACCAAGGGAAAGAACTCACCACACAGTAGTCATTGGTATCTTTGGAACTCGATCATGCTTTGCTAACATCTTGGTCTCTTCACTCAACAGCTTCTATTGATACCCAAACCCACCCAAAAGATCCAAGAACTTTTGGGAGTTGCCCCGCAGGCTGCCAGATTTTCACTGATCCCATAGTGACATGAGAGGCTTTGAGTGCGTTGTTGCTCCGCATCCATCTCCAAGACCTGTCAACTGCTGGTCTTTATAGGAAGAGATGGATGACCGTGGTCGCTGGATACACCAGCAAAGACCTAGTTCAACGCGTCCAGCTTCCCAACCTAAAAAGCTCTTCATGGTTGTTCAAAGTAATCTTTTGATATCCTGGTTTGAGGTCACTCAGACCTGTAAAAGGTCAATTGTATAGGGACTCCAAAAGGAGTTTAAAGAAGCTGGTTCCTGAACTAAATGAGGATTGGAATCTGTATGGTGTGGGTCAGCCCCCATGGTTCCTTGGGCCGTCTTTCCTGGGCAAGAGGGGCCGACCATGTCCCCATTGGGTCCTTTTATCATAGTTTAGATGTTGTCATATTTTTCCTACACCTCCAGTCGTACCTCCTCAGAAGGTATGACTAGACCCTCCTGGCACCCACCCCAGTCCCAGGTACGACTAGAGGCCTAGTCAATTTCTCGATATAGGGCCGGGAATTGTCCATTTGACCCTTGAACGGTGCACGACACTCTACATGACGCTCGTCAGGTCTCCTTTATGCGCTCTATGGGCTCTTAGCAATTGGCATTCTGGTGCTCCTCGTGGTGGTGGCCATCAGATCTCGTTCCGTCTCGCAACTCTCGTTCGTCTCATTGCGGGCTGCGCGCCTGGTCGTCACACACGAAGGATCCTCGAAGAATCCTTTGCGGAGCAGCGCCCCTTTGCGCGGCTGACCGAAGAAAAAAGCGGGCGCTGCATGGCGCTGCTGTAAATACAGGTTGATTGGATGATGGTGAGTGATGGAGACCTTACTGGGAGTCTGAAGTTGAATATGGATTTAGGTTCATGGTCAGGAGCACAAAACGGATCATAAAGCTGAGGTGGGCTTCGGTGGAAAATAAGCGCCAGAAGGCAAGTCCAGTGGATTCTACCATGTTTCTGGCCTAAATACTGGACTTGTAGAGGTTCAAGTCCTGAACCACCCTCCACCTCCCACAGGTCACCAAGGGGAGCTGTTCCAGCTTCCTACTTCATTCAGATTGGTTCTATTTTCCCAAACCGAGCCACCTGATCTCCAAACAGACCAACTTTAGGTCACTTTTCACTCCACCACTCCCCCTTTCCCCTCGCTCGGGACTCCCAACTCGCCAGCTCGCCAGTTCCTCGTCCGCACGTGCTCGCGGCGCTTGCGCGCAGGATCGAGACGAAGTTTGGATCCGTCGGAATGCACAGCATTGCCCGGGCTGCCGAGGACGGGACCGATTCGGACAGGTCCGAGGACGGGACCTCGCACGGAGGGGATGGAGGATGGAAGAGGAGAGTCGACAGACTCGAACTGAACGGATTGAATAGATTGGGTGCGCGCCACATGATTCTAATTCCCAGAGGATTGGCCTACATTCACCACCAAAAACCATCAAATGTAGGCGATACTTGCTATGCCATGGATCTTCTGGGATTGATTCTATTGTCCTGACTGCTAGGTTTTTGGCACGCAGGAGGTTGCTGGCGAAGCTCATGTGACAGTTGTTATGTGTTTCTTCACAGATGAAAACACATCAGCGTGGCATCCCCGTATCCAGGGAATCCCTCCGACGTCGGGGACTCAATAACAATAATTTGACAGTTGTTCAAATCTTTGCCTATATATGGCTAAACCATGCATGGGTAAACCATAGCTGTTTGAAACATAAAAACAGATGTCTTCCCAATTTGAGGGCATTGATCCCTTTTGACCAGACCACCTGCAGTGCTTTGCCGGACTTCGTCGTCCGCACCAGACGTGATTTGCATCATTCATCGCATCCGGGAGGCGTTGTCGAGCGCAACGGCGGGTGCAACCACATGGCACGTCCGACGCGACGTGTCGCGGTCGGCGCGTTTTTCGCGCCGGACCCGCGAAACGGGCGGTGGATGGCGGTGGACGCGGGAGGAGCAGAGGTCATTGTCGAATTGAGTCAGTGAAGTGGAAGTACGGCCATCAGGTGTTGAAGAAGGCGCAGGATCCAATCTCCCATGCTGTTTCTTGTGCATGAGCAGATGGATAAAGACGATTATATTGGTTGGAGGTCGTTATTTCGACAAGAGGATCTCCATCAACGCATACTTCCACAACAGCCTGGTGGTGACTTGTAGGAGTAGGATGATGGTGTAGGGGGTTTAGTGAGAATGTTCAAAGCTGGATCTACTTGATTGTACTGGTATTGGTGATACATATTATACCCGTTTGTAGTTCGCTTGGAATATCTTGGAATGGATCCTTTGCCCCATGAAAGAGGACACCACATTCTACTGTAATATTACAAGGGAGCTGCGGAGCTGTGGAATTTTCGAGAATTGTTGTCGCTGGGTTATAATTGAATTCTCTGGATATTCAAAACTGGGACCCAGGCCCACTAGACTTTCTATATATGTCACTTACATAACTTCAGTGCACTGGAATGGGTGTCTATGAAACTATATTCAAAGAATAGATCAATAACAGAACCGTTGCAACATGAGTTGCGGCAGTGGAACATCTGAACCTCCGACTCCCATCCTCTTCCATCTCTCGTCGGGGAGATGAAGGAGAGGGTTTGTTCGTCATGCTTCGTCTCGTTTGGTGAGCTCCTCTCAATGCTGATGTTGCTCCAAGCCATTGCCTGGAATCTTCAATTCAGATTCTTCAAACGATCTCATGACATGTTTATAAGGCCTGACAACTACTCATGTTTCCATAATATACCGACCCCATCTAACCCCTGATCACATAATCACATATCCCACTGGTGCGAGCCTTTCACCCCCACTCGATCATCCCGCGACGGGCAGATTTGCCGTTGTGGAGTGCACTTCTGCTATGTTTGTGGGCGGCTTTGGCAGGCACCGCACTTTTTGAGCGTTTTCTGGGGGTTGGTCTGAGAAGCGGGGTCTACACTCTGACCAACACATTACATAATTAGGAGTGGAAAATGGTCCGTTGGAAGTTGGAAGTTGGAAGGGCAGTTCCACTTTCCATGTTAGGGAGAAGGAGTGTATTGATGCCCTTTCATAGGCCTCCAAGCCGCTGCCATTCCAGGACTTCAGCTCCTGGCCCCACCCTCCGTTTCGGTTCGGTGGTTGGGGTGCGTGCCAGGGGGGTTTCACCATCACTGGAGCGTTGTGGATTTCGCCTTGAGATGTGGATCCAACAGATGGACTCGGGGACGTGAGGGAAGGATAAGTGGATAACGTGCACGAGTAAACCTTTATTCACACCGCTTCACGGTAGAAGCCGCCCGCACAGATTAAATGGATAATGTGTCAGAGTAGCACCCCACGAGGATACAGGTTGGTTACTGGTGTGGGAAGCAGCAACTTGTGCTGTGGGAGCCGGTCTGTCTCGGTCTGTCTGTCTCGGTCTGTCTGTCTCGGTATGTCTGTCTCGGTATGTTTGTCTCGGTATGTCTGTCTCGGTATGTCTGTCTCCGTATGTCTGTCTGTCTGCCTGCCTGCCTGGCTGGCTGGCTGTTTGTCTGTCTGCCTGCCTGCCTGCCTGCCTGGCTGGCTGGCTGTCTGTCTGTCTGTCTGTCTGTTTGTCTCGGTCTGTCTGTCTGTCTCAGTCTGTCTGTCTGTCTGTCTCAGTATGTCTGTATCGGTCGTCTGTCAGTCTGTCTGTCTCTTTCGGGCAGGACACACGGACAAACACACCGACACCCACCCACAATGTCAGTAATGGAGTCTCCCCCCGGCTGCATAACCGGCATCGCGAACGTTCACTTATAAGAAGCCATACAGGCTTCCATCTTCAAAAAACAGAAAGCCATCAAAGCCACGGCCACACCACTTTCCAAAAATGAAGGGGCCCCCCCAAGCTAAAGCTCATTAAGCGATTAATCCAGCAGCTATCTTGCGGCTTGCGCAAAGCCTACACAGCGCCTCAGCACCGGATTTTCCAGAGAAACTGATGTAGCCATTTTGACTCAAGCACACTTCTCTACTAAAGGCCAGCTCATGGTTCTGACTTCAAGTATAGGAAGAGTTGCCTCCGTTGCAGGGTGTTGCTGCGTGTGGTAGTGTGCGCTTTGGAGCCCGAGCGCTGGCGCCGATTGAGGGGGCTGTTTTTGGAGGCTGCATGGGTGCTGGCGCCGCAGCTGCTACCAGATGTTGATGGCCATGTGCGTTTTGTGAGCCTTGCTGTTTCCGCGGCAAGATGTCTAAGCCTATGGCCGTGCCTGTGCGATTGTACGCTTTGCAGCTTGGGTGCTGAGGTTGCTGCTGCCAATCGCAGTTGCGCCTTTGGGGGGCTGGGTAGTTCATGTCGCTGCAGGGCGCCTCTGCAGCCGCTGCCCACGCTGGCATAATAGCGGAATGCTTTCCGCAACTATCTAGGCTTGGCATGGTTTTTGGTGTGGGATGTGCGGTTTTGGACCCCTGGACCTTGCCCGGACCTTGCCCAGAACTACCATCCACCTGCTGCTGGTGTGCTGCTGCTGTTTGTCTGCTGCTGCTGGTGTTTTGCAGCTGCTGCTGCTGCTTGTTTGCTGTTTTTGTGTTGCTTTTGCGTTGCTTCTGTGCAGTTTGTCTGCTGCTGCTGCTGCTGCTACTACTACTACTACTGCTGCTGCTTGTTTGCTGCTAATGCTTGGGTGCTGTCGCATGCTGCTTGGCTGCAGCTGCTGCTGCCAGCACGCTGCGCTGCTGCTGCTGCTGCTGCTGCCGCCATACTGTAATTGGTATGGTTCAAATCTCAAACTTTCTGGCAATCGGTAGAGGATCTGTAAACCTCTTGTAAACAAGAACCTGATGTGACCTGGTCACATCGGGCCACTACTTGCGGATTAGCCTTTTTCGAGCCACCTGATGAATGGCGACAGTATACATTGCACACGAGCCGCGCTCTAGAGCGCTCGTTCTGAACAACTTCTTCCCAAGCTAGTACGGTTGGTGTTGGTGGGTTCTTGCGGCGTTTGCATGAGGCACAGGCAAACCAGAAGACACTGAAAGTGTTTGAATGGCTGCCCAGACTCTTGGCGAGATGCCATACCGACCAGCCATCCCGAAGGTGGAACTGCGACAGTCGCTGGGGCCCTGGTACGCAAGCCAGGTACTATGAGATTGAGGAAGTGGCAGAAGTAGCAGAAAGATTAGGAGCTCACGCGATCGCATATGATGCTGGTGGCCTGAACCTTGTGTACCCAACTCATGCAGTGTCTGGTTTCAACGGGACCCAGGTTGCCGCATGCAGGAGCAGCCACCCTTGGCCCTGCACGCGCAGGATTGGCTGACATTCCGCTGCTTGGACGGAGACGTCACTGATGCTTTTTTGGTAGCCGTCCCAGTGCCCATCGAGTTTGGGGAGGTGCTCGAAGCTGAAGATGCCTGACTGAATATAAGGTGGGCAGTTGCCTGATGAGATGGCTGGAGCACTTGGTGCCGGCTCCAGTTGTTGGGAAAGAATCAGGCATCAAGCCAGCTTCATTCAGAAGAAGCGGAACGGGCGGCATTAAGGAGCGCCCTCAATGGATGATTATAGTCTTAGTATGTTGCAGTTCTTTAAGGTGCATGCTGTAGCCAGGTGCGAACATTATGTGCTAGCGTGGATGGGAAAGGGCCTTTCGTGCCTGTTTTCGTGGGAGGGCCAGGCTGGATGGAGTTCTTGAGATGTGTCACAGATGATCTGGGCAACCTCAGCGGATGCATTTTGCAGCGACCTGCTTTACGTGACGGACCTTCCGTCACTCTCGCGGATGGATCCAAACCAAGGTGAAGGGAAAGTTCACTGGGAAACAAATCCAATAATGATTTGAATTTATAGTGCCTGATGGCCTGATGTATCAAACCCGTAGTGCCTTGATGTTCTGAACTCTGAACGTTCCCAAAGTCCTTAGGGGCTGAACATTCTTTTTCGCAGTGTGAGACGCAGGTTCGGTGATGGTTTCGGATATGTTTATTTTCAGCCTTCACTTGGAACAATTGAGCCCACTGAATCTTGTTTTTTGTTCGTATGTTGAAACCACCAACAGGCGGGGCAATACCTCCACTGCCAGGAGCATGAAACGCAGCGTGGAGGAATGGACTTTTTCAACTGCCGCTTGCCCAAGGCGCCACAAAGACCATCCTGGACGGGGAGCGCGGGGGACATCGGGAACTGGTGGAAATGCAAGATGGTTCTCACTATAGCAAGGTGATGATACTTGCAAGGAACATTCACATGATTATAATATACTATAGTTATATTGTGGTACCTCATGGATTGCTTGGACCAGAGGGTCTTTCATAGCCCGGGGTAGTGGAGTTTTCAGTTTGGTTGAAGTGTGGTAGTCTGCTTTCTTCAATGTGTTGTTTTTATTTTGTTCAATCACTTCAAATAGTTTCTTCTGGTCGATTTTCATCTCCTGATGTCAGTGAACAGCCTCAAAGATGGATTTTGTTCTTGAGGAAATGAGGCAAGAGGAACTAATCTGAGGAGAAACTCCGACCTGGCTTTGGGACATGTTTGCTAACCTGGATGAGTTGAAGATGCAATGTGTTCTGCATGGAGTACTAGTCGACTTGGCCGTCGCAGCTTGGCCGTCGTCGCCCACTTTTCAGTCGGAGGTTGCTAGGCTGGCTGTCACCCAAAGGCCCTACCTTGAGGCATTCGAGGTCGCATTTCTTAGCTAGTGTCAGCTACTAAGAATGACAATGACAATGACCATCAATGGCCCCTTTTACGACCACCCTTCATCTATAGACAGAGGTCTATAATTTCCGGACACAGCGCCTCGCAATGCCTCGCTTCCCAGGCGCACACGCACCGGAGCGGTTCGAAGACACAGAGCTCGGAAGGTTTTGCGGAGGAGCGCTGGCGGGGTGTGCAGCGCGGGGGAGCTTGGTGGAACAGGATGAATGTGTTCGTGTCTCAATGGATCGGAGATGAGGGGGACGCATGGGGGACGCCACAGGGACCCAAGGCAAGACTTGCTGTTTGCAACTGTCCTTGCCATGAACACAAGCTTGCTCCCACGTTCATTGGTCTTCGACGGACTTCATCAGAGCCCCAGTCAGAGCCCCCTAATGTCCTCTAGGCTCTAGGGAATGTCCTCGAGAGAAACTGGTCGAAGACCCCGTTTGCGTGAGTAAGGCACGCTGAAGATCTCATGAAAGAGCTGTTTATGTAAATACATGTGAATTAATTTGCAGAATAGGTACATACAATAAAATATCATAATTAATTATATAATATATTATATAGGTTTAAAGACCCACATACAGAATTAGCATCCCCCAAACCACTACAACTAGAGCATAACTTCAGCTTACTAGACCCATTTGGTCTCCATCCATCCACCGGCCGCCGGCCTCGCTCTCCTCGAGGACCCCATCGCGGAGTTCCAAGCGCTGGAGAGGTCCGGAGAGCAGCTGCGGACGGAGGGTTCGCCGGCGAACCGGCGACCGTTGCAGAGCGGTCCGGACACGTCGAGCATCATGGACTATGGAAATCGATATGTGAAGTGAAACTGAAGCAACCGAAACAACCTGGCCTTCACCAACGCCACCTAAGTCTACCAACCTTATCTAACCCAACCTCTTCAAAGCCCAAAACGACTCAGACTAGACTGCAACAGGAATGTGGCGTGTGCACAACGCTGGGCGATGGAAGCTGGTAGCCTTTTACAGGCCCAGTCGGGAGCACGAGGAGTTTGGAGGGGAATTGGATGGAATTGGATTCCTCCCATGATTTTAAGCATGGTGTTGCGGATTCGTTTAGGAGGAGTCGGAGAATGGTGTGAAGTTTGCTTTTGCCGAAGGACTATAGGATGTGAAGGCTTATTTGAGGGAGATAAACATGCAGATCTTTCTCGTGGCTCCATTCACTACCCACCTGCAGAGTGTTTTGCCGTCACAGGCTTGTTGTTTTCCTTCCATCAACTAAGCAAACAAACTTAACTTGACGTTGATGCTTGTTTTTGGCCGCAGGTTCAATGAGCAATGTCAAACAAATCACAACCAGTTGGACTGCCAGGTACTGTCAGGTACTGTCGACCGTCACAGTCATGAGTTCTGATGATGTTTGTTTGGCGTGCCGCGGCGTGCCTTCGCTTCCAAATGTAACCAGTGCTGGCTGTAGCGAGGTTGTTTTTCAGTGTTTGCTGTGTTCAATTAGCCAGCCAGGTACGATTGAAAGGTAAGCACTGACCCTCCAGTCATTTGCAAGAACTTTGTGGTCCGATGTGGTCCAGCCATCGCCCATGGCCCAGGCGTTCCATCATGTCCTGAGTTTGCCAACGCCATCAAGCCCGCCAAAGAGCTCAGATCGGCAAACTAAAGTACACTTGGAGGAAAGTTGAAAAAAGAACTGCCATGCATTTCCTCCAACTGAATGGCTGAAAGCTGCTTTAAGCCTAGGGCCTAGCTGTTGGCCGGCCATCGCAGCTAACATGCAACGACTCACCCCAAGCGCCAAGTTCAGTTTATGTTGTTTCTCGATCATTTTGGTGATTCCTTTGATTCAATGTTTGTTCTAGTGACCTATATAGCAGGGTCACGGGGGGAATCTATATTGGAGTCATCATATAGTGTTGAAATAAGCAATAAAGAGACCTCTCAATCACCCTGTGCAAGAAGAAGGAACATTAAACATATAGACCAACATGATTCGACATGCCTTTGTTATTCTTGGTTGGGGTTTACAAACCCGTTTGCAAACCCAATCATGGTCCCTGTCTCAACCTCGCCCAGGTCCTCTCAGGCTGTGCGGATGGAGCCGCAACTGTCGTCGACCTGCCAGGTGTTGCGAAACGTGAAACAATTGCAGATGGTTTTCATATATGAAACGTGAAACGTAAAACACCTTTCCATTGTGATACTTCAATATATGTTGCAGATGGTTTTCATATATTGAAGTATCACAATGGAAAGCGGACCATATGGTGTTGAGAAACTTGAAACACTTGCCAGGTCTTCTGCATCACAAACCTGCGTTTGTTTGTTTGTTTGTTTTTACAATAGTATCACACCATCAAAATGATGTGAAACTATATCAGTTGGGACAGAAAACACTAGTCCTGTTCGAACACATCGTCACATATTTTATTCGGAGCTCCAACAGGCCGACTGAAGCGGGCCCGGAAATCTGTTTGCTTCGTTTCCTTGCGGTGACGACCGCAACGAGCTGAACGGGCCTGGTCCGTTTGCTTCAAGTCAAGCCACGAGTCGAAGACAAGTTAAAGTTCGGAAAGTGTCATGATGGTTTCCAAGTTAGAAAGCATCCGACACGCTCCGAACTAAGGTGTTTTTCTTGTTGTATGTTTGTTGCAGTCAGTGGTCAGGTGCCTAGGGGCACCATGACAAATCAGGAATCTCACCAACAGACCAACAGGGACAGGTTGGGACATGCAGGGGCACACATGTGGTCATGTTTCGGGGTTCGCTGCGTTACTGGAGTTCATCCCCTTCTCTCAGCCCGTCTACGGGGAGTTGTCTCATGATGTCTCATACACTATCAGGAAGCCGGCTCAACATCGAAGCATCCGTGATGCTATATGCTTTATGCTGATCCCGGACACTCCATGTATAGAATAGTTTGCCTATCAACCCCTTTTCAACCACACGGGGTCCCAGACGTGTCGTCTTTGTGGGACGGTGTCGCGTCTTCGGTGACACGTGGCCTGTCGCCCCACAGTGGCGCTCCATGGGGTGTCGCTCCTGAGTCGAGTGGCCTGTCGTGCAGTTCTGTGAGCTTCGCCAGGAGCACCTTGCGTGAGGCAGTGGAAGTCCTAGTGAATGCGCAGTGACTTGGCCTTGATGATCGCCGTGGAGGGCTTGTATTATTCGGGACACGCGGGACACTGGCCCAGCAGGGGACAGGAGGAACATGCCACTTGGTGATTCTTTTGGTACGGATTCCTGTTGAGATGCCTTTCAAGTGATCGTTGAAGTGTCCTTCTGTGTCTGTTGTTTTTTGCATCCTCAAAATCGGTGTGTTCTTCTTTTTGATCCCTTGACTCCCTTGCGAATCCTTTTTATGTTCAAGCGGTCAGCTCTCCACAAGTGAGTTGATTCGGCAGAAGCCGCAGAGACAACCTGGTCGACATCTCAGACCTCCAAGATGTTCCTTCTCAGAAAACATGCAAAGCAACATGATTTTACCAGAGGTGGAAACAAGATGCATTTGTTTGGATCGGTGTATAAAGCTGTTGCCAGCACTGGATAGAAAACCTGCAAATTCATCCAATTCATCCCCCCAGACCCTTTTGAGATCCCTGGAGACCCTTTTGTGGGGCGGGTGTCTTAAGTTCAAGATGTTCAAGCTCTTTGCCTGAGATTCTTGCCCTCACGTGACAGCCACCGCGTCTTGCCCGTGCAGCCATCCAACTGGAGGCGAACCATGCGGTGCTGTTGGGTCTTCAGGCAAAGGGTGATGCTCTTTGCGCAGCTCTTTGCTTGTTTGGGGATGCCTCATCTCAGTCAACAATCCCTCACATGGTGACCGTTTTCAGTTTTCATGTGCTTTCTGCAGTTCTACAATTCTGTTCAGGTCTGTTCCACTGCTTTTGGGGCCAAAACTACAGGTGGCCAAGGGCTCATATCATGGGCCAAAACTACAGGCTCTCGCTGGAGTTTTTCACGCGAGGTCCTCGAGCGCTGCGGATCGGTACACTGGTTTCGATGCATCAAAGGCTCCAAAGGAAGTGCTCTCACAATGTTGGAAGGGAGCGTGGAATTTTCGGAATTTCCCAGATAGTATAGCCGGCCAAATGGCTATTTTGGTGGCACGATTGAAATTGGCGTGGCAGGTGGCCTCAACTTATTGGAGGGCCAACCTGGGAATTGGTGACAAGTCTTTTCTCGAGAAGTTGATGCACAGAATTCAGGTTCTTTGGGTGCCAAGTGAAGACTCGCTTGATTGAAAGATTGAACCCCTTTCTCCAGCGATGTTTGAGGAGATCGCATCCGAAAAAGAGAAAGAGGAAGAAGTCTTATGGCAGCATGTTTGAGGAGCAGTTTGTGCAACTCTCACATGCCAAATCGTTTCTTTCTCTAGTGTTTTGAAGGGGCTTACCTCATACGGTATGTACTGCAATCAAGACCTTCTGCGCACCATAAGGACCATAAGGCTGTGGTAGTTGGACCACGGTGTGCATGACGTGGGAACAGTGTTTGTTCTCGTGTTTTTGACTGACTAACCACGCTTTTGAGTTGTTTGTTCTGGATGATGTGATGAATGAGTCCGTGAGGTCAAGGAGGGCTGGGGTGTGAGGAGAGACGGGGGGTGGGTGTGCGCGCGCGCAGGATTTTTCCGCTCCCGCTCATGGCTTTGGAACTGATGCCAGATGATGTGATTATTGTGTGCATGAGTTGTCAAGGAGGTACAGGTGGGTAGGTGGAGGAGGTGGAACAGTACTTGCGCCGAAGTACATCTTAGCAGTTGAAGCTGTGCCGGTCAGATTGGTCGACGCCCTGAATTTGGCAGCACTCGTGAATCTGCAGAGTGTTTTCAGAAACGCGTCTTTGCAGGCACGGCGACTCTATTCTTCAAGACACACTGGAAACGGGGCGGTGCCAACATCACTTTTCCTGCATGTGTCCGCTGCCATTTTTTTTCGTTTAAAAACATTGCGTATGATCCCGTGATGCATGGCGTAATTCAATGTAAACTGCGGACCTTGTTCGGTTGCGGACTCGGTCAATCCAACGACCGTTTATCCAGACCGTTGCCCAGTTGATTGGTTGAACACATCATGCATTTCTCAAAAAGCATGTTCAGGTGATTTTTATCAACTTGAAAAGATCACTTGAAGGGGCCCAATTGATCCTTGTTTTGCACCAAGAATCGATGGAAGCAACTGCTTGGTGCCTGGTGCTTTCAACCCTTAGAGATGATTGGATAGGGTCACATAGGGTCAGTTTGAGATGAACATACCAAGAACACACTATACTTGAACAGTGTTGAACATTTGCATCACTTGCTCCGAAGTTAAAAGAGGTTGAATTATTGAACCTGTAGATCCCCATTACCATTTCCACTATGAAATGGGTAGCCTCAAGGCCTTTATAAATAGATTGGTGTTCACGGTCATTGTGTAAGGATGAAATGTCAGGCACCTAGGCAGTTTGTAACAAGGTAACTGAACATCATTTTGTAAGAAGCCCGGTCTGGTGTTTAATACAGGAGGTCATTTTGTAAGGAAATCAACTTCTTGAGATCATGGTGGTGGGCTGGCATCACCCATTGTGTAAGAGTGCTATTATTATAAACAAACGCAGTTTGTGAGAAATGTATGAAATTAATCATGAATGTTTGTGATTCAATAATGTGGCTAGGTTGCGCATCATTATTCCGTAAGGAACTTGCAACCGTTTTCCATTGTCAGGTTGTAAGGAAGTAGTGCCCTGTGGGATTTGAATAGGTTTGGTTTGCGATCTAATGAGTGTGGCTAGCAGAGCGCTGAAAAAGAGCCAGCAGCATGTCCTTACAAAATGAGTCGTTGGTGTTCAATGAAATGTTAGGCTTTTTGGCATGCTGAGGCTGAGGCATCCACATTGAACAGTGAATTCCTTATATAAGCTGTTAGGGTATGACCCCTGGAAAATGTCTATATGCCTCTACAAATTGAGATGGGCATCTACAAGGGCCATTTGTGCCTACGTGAACTGTAATTTTGTAAAGTCAGCATGTTTGAACACTCGTCCTTTTGTAAGGTTGAGGGTATGCCCCTTCGCTCTATACCTACCACATGGGGGCCTTGACCCCTTCGGGGGGGGGTACTGGGGATACCTATCCCAGAGACTCCATGTATGGCATATTTACCTACATTGGGGTGGTTTGGGGGGTCAATGTAGGCATATATGGCATACATGGAGTGTCTGGGTATAGGACAACTTACCCAGATCAGCTGAACACATTGACTCCTTCTCCCCGTCAACCCGAGTCCACCCAGATCAACCCGGGCAGGTGGCACGCCAGCACACAGCAGTTGGAGACGGGTCCGATGGAGTTGGCACCCGAGTCCGTCGGTGCCAGGGTGAAGAGGTCCCGGGTTCAGGTCGAAGAGGTCCCAACCGGTCCGGTGAAGGTGAAGGTCATGTCCAGAATCAGAGCGGTTCATCGGAGCATGCCCACAGTTCGAGGCATGCGGTTCTTGGGGCGTGTGCATGTGAAGATGGACAACCTGCGTGTTCGATCTTGTTTGGTTTGAAATGTGGCAGCAAACAACCTGTTTACTTTGTGGACCAACTGTATCAGTTTAGCTTAGGGATGAAACACTTTATATACACCTTGTAAGAGCAATGGTTTGGATTCTCTCCCTACCCACTTGACCCTTCAAGGGGTGATTTGATTTTTTTGTAGTTGGAACCAATGCAAATATGTTTCACTTGAAGCCTCAGGGCTGGTATTGTTCATATGTGTTGGTTCCCAGTAAATACCGACATGTTCCGTGGGTGTTTGTATTCCATGTTTGTTCCGCTACCAGTGGTTTAAGGCGTTTCAGCACGTAGCTGGGCGCCCAAAAAACCCATCGATGAGCAGTTTGTCCTCTCCCCGCCCAACGGTTCGTGCGCCGCGCCGCAGTTTGGCCTCGCTTGGCCTCGAGGTTTTGGTTGGGCGAGTTCCAGACCGCCTGCAGTACACTGGAGGCTTGCATGAAGCTGAACCTGATAGATTCGGTGAGCCAAAGCCCAAAAAGGCGCCCCATCCCGGACCTTTCCCTCCAAATCCAATACCCAAACACTCCATGTGTGCCCATATTTGCATACATTGGGTGGGTTCAGGGATGACATCCCCAGCTCCTCCTTCTTAAACGGTCTGTGTGGCATCTACTTGTTCAGATTCTTGTGTCGATGAACACTGCACACCAATGTGCCACGAGAATTGTGCCATGATGTGATTTCCGGTTCATTTCCATTACATTCCATTACCTTCTTTGTTTGACCATATATAGCCCACTTGATGTTATTGATATTCTATAACCAGCTCGTTTTCCGAGCATGGGCATGGTCTGACCTCGGAGCCTGGAGCGCAGACCGCTTTCGTCCCGTCGTCTCGGCGTCCAGACGCGTCAGGCCGCCCTAGGGCCCAGCTTCCAAGCTGCGCTCGGGGCACCTGGAACGACATGGATGGGGTGCTTGACCAGTGAGAGCCCACGGTAGACTAGGTGGCAGTGTGCCAAGGTGTGATTGTTGTTGTTTGGTCGACCAGGTTGTTGTAGGCAATGCATGGTGCAGTGGTATATAATGATAATGTGTTTTTCCATGCGCACATCTCATCACATCTCTATGCCGAGGGATTGCCTAGGGTACCCAAGTATCGTACCCCCATAAACATGGCGCATCAGGTCTTGTACAATCAGGAAGTTCAGGAGGTTCTAAAGTCTGAACAAAAGGAACACATTGTGGATATAGGAGGTGTTTTTGGTTGACTAGATTAGGGAAACAATGGACAATCACCTCATTAACCAGCCCCAACGGCCCTAACGTTTGAGTTCCCTCTCTAAGAGTTATATATTTGATTCTACTTGTATGTACGGATTCTTGATGTAGTCACCTGTTGAGGAAGCAAAGCAATTAGGGTGTGGCAGCATAAAAGATCACTGCAAGGCTTTTGTACCACGTGATTTCGCTGAATACACTAGGAACATGACTACTCACTGGCTTGTTTGCTAGGGCACGAGAGTTGGGCCACGGGCGGGACTGCACAGGGTGCTGTCCATTCATGTTTGACTAGGATTCATTCGGTTCACACATTTGGTGTGTGTGTGTATACGGTGTAGAGCAGCAGTGTAGAGGATGTACATGGATCATGTCCCAGACACTCCGTGTATGGAATATGTACCTACATTGGGGTGGTGTCAGGAATCAATGTAGGCATATATATATATATATTGCATACATGGAGAGCATTCCGATGGAGTTGGAAGTCTGGTGGCCGAATCAAAGCAGCAAACAAACTTTAACAGCAAATCAACGCGGTGTTGCTTTTCGCAGGTCCCAACTTTGTAGAGTATGAGCATGATGAACTTGCAGTTGTACAACGTGGGATGCTAGGGACTCCAAGCAATGTGTTACAGAAAATCTGAGGCCCAGTACTCATGTCAACATCTAATGATCTAATGATATCTAATGCGTTCACTTCCATCTTCCTGCCGTGCCCTGCCGTGTCCGGGAGATCCGCTCCGCTCCGCACGTCGCAGAGGTGGCAGTCGCACATGCCGCACCTGGAAGCATCCGAGCAGCGCTGGCCCCTCCTGGAGAGTTCCTCCGGGCAGGGGGGATGGGCGGGGAAGAACTGGTGGATGCTTGGGGAAGGATGGATGAGCACCTTAAGTGCTGGCTTGGTAGTGATTTTCTTTGTTCAGTTTTTCTAGAGACACATCCACAGCACTTTTCAGTCGAACTTGATCCAGATTGGTTATATACTCTTGTGTGCGAACTCTGCCAGCCTCCCTTCCATGGCCAGAACTTTTACACCCCATGGCCTTTTTTCCTCGCCACAAGCGGCACTGGCCCGGCACAGGGACCTACATGATGTGATGTGGCGCTTGGAAGCCTTAGAGTTGAGTGCGGGTTCCCCAAAGGCCTTCGCGTGGACTGGGAAGATTTCGGGCAGTTACGCCCAGTGGGCGGACAGTTGGTTTGGAGTGAGAAGCCCAGTTTGGCAGCGGACGATGGGTTGTAGGTGGCACGACCTGGGGATGCTTCATGGTATATAGGTGTTTTTTTGAATTGGACATCATCTGGCTGGGAAGTCAACCCGTTTGTTAAAGCCTCAGTGTTCCATCTAATGGCAACACCCCTTCTACCGCGAGTGGCTTTGATGGAAGCACAAATGACACGCAGCCAGGTCACCCCATTGATTTGACAGCACTTGAAGCTGCCGTTGAAGTTGAAGACCATGGTAGAAGAATGCCGCAAATGCGCCGTGAGCCTGTGGAACCAACAGGCCACGCGAGTCGTGGAACCTTGTCAGGACAATGAAGCATCTCAGCCTGGTTTTTCTCCACCAGATGACATTAACGTGACAGCTGTCTACCGCTGTCTAATGCTCTCAGGTGTGGCCCACTTTTGAACTTTGCCCACATTTGGGATCGGAAGTGGGCAAGAAACAAGGCTTTGGCGTTGGACAAAAGATTCACAGGAAAGGAAACTTTGGACCCAAATTCCAAAGGTTGGCAAAATTATTCGAGAGCTTTCTTTGACAATTTCTTCGACGGTAAGTCAATTGCGCAAGCTGTGCGAGAGCTGCCAAGAATTTGGAAGAACTTCTCAACTTGATGGTGAAGCCCCACGATAGTCAAGGACCAGAAACCGCCACGAGCGTTAACAGATGAAGATTGCTATCGAGTGTTGCTCCATTGTGTGCATGATGTTTGACACATTGATCTTTGGTGCAGGCCGCTCTGTTCAACGCACATGTCGAAGACCCTATGGGCATAAAACGACGTGCAAGATGTGAGAAGAGCATCAGCAGTTTAACCTACAACTCAATCAAGCACAAAACCAGACAAGAGATTATCGAAGTCCTTACCAATGCCTGTTGGAAAAGAAGTTGACCAGACCTCAATGGCACAATGAAATGATGTAATGGAAACACATGAGCGCGCAATAGTTCAAGGCAGCAGGCCATTAGGGCTTTTCCCACTTGTCTTGCAAGTCTTGAGCAGGACTATAACTTGGTGGTTTGGCGTTTGTTTATCACATGTGTTTCAACCTAGTTATAGACTTATAGACCAGTTGTAACAGATTTTAACAGCGGCAACAGAGCTAAGTTCTTTAGATGAACTTATGGTATTTATATATATAATTTATTTAGTTTTGTTGTGTGAGATAGTCAGTTCATGTAAGTTCTACAAGTTACTATTTTAACACAATACTGTTTAAAACAATCTTAGAGAACTTCCAACTATATAACTTAGGAAAGTTCACTTTGAAGATGTTTCAATACTATTGTTTTTAGTTTATTCAATCGATACTGTTGTCATTGTCATATGTGTCACACGAAGAACAAAAACACATGACATGACAGCTCCAATTGACAAAACAGTTTCGCAGAATCGATAGGGAAGGGAAAAACAGTTCTATGTTAGAGATGGTGGCTCTGCCCAATGGAAATACATTGACTGTGGTGTCAGTGGACGTTGCGGTTGATGCGAAGCGCTGCAACCTCACTCTGACCCGCACCAGCAAGCGCGTTGCTTCAGATTCGTGGAAGGCGGGAGTCCTTCACGGGGGCCCGCTTGGCGCGAGTCCTTCAAGCGACACTTGCACGGATGTTTCCCTCCATCGAAGCCGGACACTCGCTGCACGCGCGTGGCGTTGTCGTTCAGGTCACGATGATTTACTGCGGCTCATGGATTCGGTCGTGGCCCATGGATTCGGTGTGGTGAAAAACCTGGTTCATCCCATTGGCATTCCAAATCAACCAGTCATTAAGGTACGACTGTACCCTCCAAACCTACACAACAGTGTGTCCAATCACCTTCTGAGAAGGTACTTGGATCCCTAGGGTTTCATCCCTGACTTAAAGGGGTGTGAAGACCTGTGAAGAGCAGAACATGACCCGATGTCGGACATGATGGGGAAGGTGCGTGGATGTACGACCTACCAAGGAGGTACGTGGATCTCCTGCAGGTCACCAAACTTTGGGGACATTTGGGGACACCCCAACAAGAGGTATGAACGGGTGGAATGGGGTTCTCCTCTATTTTCCAGGGAAACGGTTTCGATGTCCGTTGAAGAGTTCGGTTTCGGTGTCGCGGCGCAGAGTCCGTGGTGTAGTGGCCTCGAACGTTCGATGTTTAGGGTTCCGAAATCCAAACTGATATGTGTAGTATGATTGGCATGCAGATTTGCAAATATATAGTGTGTATATATAGTAAGATATATAAGGACCAATAAGATCAAACAACATATAAACAACCGTACATATTACGTAATACAATAGAGATGCATGTAGGGATCCTCATGGGATCCTGGGATAGCTTCTGAATGGGCTAGAGTCGGCTAGAGCCGTTTGTATCTCGGGGCAACCCTACATACTTGTGGATCTGTATTGGACCCTCTTTTGAAGCTGCAGATAGAAAGACCTTTCCCACACTTCCCACTCAAGAGGAACAACCTTCACTGAGCTTTAAAGTTGAGTTAGTTATTGTACCCTGTTGCAGATCCATGCAGATCCTATTGATCCTATTAATCCATGGTTCTTTTGATCCATGTGGACCTCTATAGCCTTTTTGTGGCGGCTGCGGCGACCTGGTCTTTGAGGTGTGCCGCTTAGAACAGCGTTTGCTCTCGGGAGCACGCTCGGGACGCTTCTACGGGGCAGCTTGGCAAGTGTCCGCCGTCTTTGACTGATTCACTTTTGCACGGAAGGGGTCGGTTGCCCATTCATGTTGACGGTTGATGAAGAACCCTCCTCGCATGTTTGACAATAGAAGTTGGAGGGTGTTTGATTCATACTGTCAACAGTAGAAGAAACCCAAATTTCTGAAGTAGGGTGGGAGTGCTTTGACATTCTGGCAAGGACCCTTGACACAGTGGTGGCTGGAGACTCTTTGGGATTGTTATCGAGGAAGCAACGTGTTTGTCAGACTGATCTCGATTCTTTGATGGCTGTATGCAGAGGAAACAACTGACGATGTTGGTTCCAACGTTCAAGCCTTCCAACAATCCATGATACTTTTTGTAGGGAGGCTACTGCATAGTCTTAAGATAGCCAATGCACCGGCTCTGTCTTTGGGACAATACAACATGTTGTTGTGTCTGAAACATCGAATCCTTGCACGCAACCTTCAACCCCCACCCCTCAGGGGCCTGGCACACCTCCAATCCCTCTAGCTCCCCAATCCTTCTTTCCCTGGCGCACTCCCACCTGAGGAGCCGCCAGGGGTTTTATCGCGTTTTGCTCAGAAAGCTTTGAGCTGGCACGAAGCCCCGGGCTGGCGCTATGGGTGGACTGTGAGAGATTTGGGGGAAGAAGTTGGAAGACCAGAGAATCCATTGAACACTTTAATACATTAGATAGCTGGCTGATGTCGCGGACACGGGACGGGCATTCCCAAAAACAACTGCATTCAGACTGATTCAATTGTATAATTCTGCCGTTTGGAGTGAGATGTTTAATTATAGGCGAACCTACTGTTGTTCCAACAAGACCAACTTGTCAGTTTCTGCTCGTTTCTTCCAGCGTAGACGAGGAAAGCTGGCTTGCAATGATTTCGGGCAGAGCAGTCCTCTGGCACCAGCAATACATGCAATGTAATGGAGATGCCCAGGATGATCGTGTATGATGGCGGAGGATGGGCGAACCTGTGGCTTTGGGTTCTTGGTAAGCTTTACAATGGTTTCAGAGCAGATGGCACAGACCCCATGATGCCCTTTGGATGGGGGTCCATATAAACATATATAAACCACGTCTTGGGGTCTGCGCCATCTACTCTCACTCCACCATAAATTTATGCCAATGCCTACAACCACCAGTTCGGGCAGATGCTCTGCTGGAACTGAACATCAGTCTTTTTCAAGGTAGACAGTAGTCCTGCAGCCTGCAGTGGATGTCTTAGGAATAGACACTCCATGGGACTGGAATATGCACATACATTGGGGGGGTTGAAAAGGCATCAATGGAATGAACACTAGGCATATATTCCTTAGATGGCGGGTTTGGGTCAGGAATAGACTACTATAGGTATAGACTACCATGGACTTGTCAAAGGCAGAAGGACGCTGCCCTCAAGACTCTTTTTGCTCGCATTCCCAGTCTTTTGTGTCAGAGTCTTCAATGTCTTCTGGAGGTGGTGCATAGTCGGTGGCCACATGCAGTTCTTCATGGTGGGGCTTTACAGCCACGTGCGAAGTCGGTGCTACTCCTTTTGCAGATCACTGTTCATAGCCACCCAGGTTTCCAAAGGGGTGCCTTTGGAGTCGTTCGGGGTTCTACTCATTCATACCCTAGACACTATGGTATTTCATATTTGCGTACATTGGCGTGGTTGAAAAGGGGGGTCATATGGGTGGCATATGTTTCAGTCTTGTTTGCGTCTTTGGGTACTCATTCTGACTCCGCAAACCAGAATTCACACAACTCAAAGAATTGAAGAAGATCCATGGGAGAAAACCAGCTAGGATCTGACCAATGGAAGAGTCCTTGTTCACCGTAGCTCACTGCAGACCTTGTACCTTGATGAAAACACAAAAAACTGGTGTGTATAATGTGTCTATTCCCCATATGAGTCTTTCCCAATTGAGTCTTTCCCATATAGCGGCTACATCCCATGGTGTGGGATTGATCAATCCAAGAAGTGCAGCCGGTGTCGAGGCTGGGTCTGTGAGGCACCGACAGCTTCGGCGGCGAGTTCCAAAGAGTTCAGTGGGAAGACATGAAACATGAATTGGTTGAGTACAAACAAATGAATACAGGTGTCACAGTGGACCAACTTTCGCAGTCGATACAGGCCAGATCTATAAACATATATATTTCTAACAGACAGGTATTGTCTCGAAGATTCGAAGATTACAGTTTTTATCCCTAGAAGGCCGACACTCACAGGCTGGGTGTGGCGTGACCTCAAAAGGATCAATCCAATGGGGGGTGAAAGCTCACGGAGCCACAACTAGCTAGCTTCGAACAGGAACAGAGTCATTGTATTTGCGTGCACATGTGTGTCACGCAAACCACAAAGTAAAAACAGCCCGGATGCACGGTTGATGTTCCTCCTTTGCCTCCCATATTTCCTATGGTTCATCACTGAGGGCTTCCTTTCGTGTGTCTGTTCAACGCGCCTGCGCCCTCTTCTGATCCCAATCAAGATATACATTGAAAAGTTGGCCAGCATGCCAGAGGCCAAAGTTTTCTTGATTCAACGGATATTATCCCCCTGCGAGAATGTTGTGACCCCACGTGGTAATGGTACAAGAGCGGATCTCTTCCAACAGCCGATTTCAGACAGCCGTCATAGAGCTCACAGCTCAGCTGCTCCTTTTTTAGACTAGATCGAGTGGATCTATTGGAATGTCCAGTGGTCGCCCAGTGGATCAGTAGAGTGTTTGGGAATGAGAACTGTGATTAAACCCGACTACCTGAGGGCCATGTCATGGGTTTTGTGATGTCTTTAACGAGTCATGGCTGGTCGAATCCGGTAGATTTAAGATTACTATCCTTGAAAGCGCAGTAAATTGGCGATCGCGTTCAATCTGTTCGGCGATCACTGGAGATAGACCCCATCTTTTCTTCCTCTATGGTTGGAGAGATGAATATTTCTCCACCGCCCATCCGTTCCCTGAACGCGCCCGCGCGTCTGTGTATGTGCTCGTCGATTGCAGGGAAGGGTTCCGTTTCTTAAGACTATGCAGACATCTAGGACCACCCTGAAAGATCGTGTCTTACTGCATCCATGAACCCAATATAACAAAATTATCAAATATTAAACAATATCTAAACTGTCACTTTCCAAATTGATTATTGGACATGTATGGACATGTCCTTGGGGGATAATTGTAGGTCTAACAGTGAGAATCTTCCACAACACCTGATGTGATCAGGAGTCAGTGTGTGCCAAGATCCAGGAGTGAATTTCCATGGTCTTCATGGTTCTTCCCCACAACACAAGATTTCCCCGCACCGCAATAATCCGAAAAGGCTGGGCAATACTTTGACCCAGCGCCGTCAGTGGGGAACGCATCGAAGGGTTTGGCTGCGCTCAAGCTAAAAACGGAACGTGTTCAGGACAGTTGAGGACTGGTTCGTGCCATGGTGATGAAAACGAAAGCGACAATGGTCGACAGCTTCCTGATAACAGCATGTGTAGCCTGGGGTCAACAAACATGGTTGGATATGTGATGCACCTCTCCGAAAGCAAAATCATTATCTCGAGTGTCGGTAAAGTAAGGCAGCTGTGGAAACATGTGTCCCTGCTTTCCATGTTCTGGCTCGAAATGACAAGGAGTTCCTTTGTGATGGTGCAGCTGCTGGTTAAAACTGAGATGAGAGAGATCAAAACACTGGGTGGAAATATCTTTGCTGATCCGCCTCGAGAAAGCAGATCAACATTGGTGCTATAGCTGCTATCCAGTTTCTGGCCCGGGTGTCCTACATGTTATGAGAGAGGGAGAAAAGCAAAATCTGAAGCATCACGAATCACTCCGAAGGCTTCAGCATCACGTTGACGAAGTTGGCCTTTGTTTTGAGAGGAAAACCCTTTGAGGCTCATCCCTAAAGCGGAAGCTTGATGTTCACCCAGAGACCGTTTGTCTGGATACGGATACCAAAGACGGATGCGTGGGACGTGCATGGGACCGGTAGCAGGGGGCATGTTATGAAGAAGGAGCCGCGAGTGGAGGGACTTCGCACAGAAGGGCAACCGGACCGCCATAGCCACCGGACCGCCATAGAAAGGACACACCAGACTGCGTAGAAAGTGGAGCTCCTGTCCGGAGCCTTGAAGAGGAGTCACTGTTTTAGGTCTGCAATATCCAATTGCCCCTGTGTCAAAAAAAGGATCCACCCAAACCCTCCCAAGCATCGCCTCGATGGGTTCTGGCTGATGTCCTTCACTCGCAGCACCACAAAATTGCTCTTGCATGTGACCTCAAATGCAGGCAACAAAAAGTGCGAAGCGAGTCAGGCCCTGGCGGCCTCTCGTCTCGCTTGGGACTTGTCCTCTCACGTAAAGTAGTCACGTGAAGACGGAAGATGTGAGAGCCAAACGATCCGAAGCACCTTCTGTAGTTCACTGGAGATTAAACTGATTAAACAACCAATTGCTCGCGGGTCCCTTGTCCCTTCATTCAATCCTATCCCAGATGGGCTCCAGTCGGACCTCCTCAGGAGGTATGACTGGACACTCCTGGCACCCACCCCAGTCCCACCTTCGAAACGGAGGTACGACTGGAGCCCTAGGGTATATAAACAGAAGAACATCAGAAGGATTGTTGTTTGAAGTTTGGATTTCCTCCTCACGTACTCCATACATCTCCAGTTCATGAAATGCAAGAACATCGACCAAGGCCTCTCTGCGGATTTGTCTCGTTGCCACGCGTGCCGCGCGCCCGAGCCCGGCCCGAGCCCGGCCCTCGCTGGCCCTTCCGGCGGAGCGGTGTGGCGGAGCCCTCGCGCCCCGGCAGCAGGTCGACCCGGTCGACTGAGGTGGACTGCGGTCGGTGGGAGGCATTTAGCGTACTGCAGTTACGAAGGTCTTCAATTTGATTCAGTTTGATTGACCAGCATCCATGTGGGCCCATGTTTTGGCGACCCAAACAGGCTCGTTTTCGGCAGCAGGAAACCGCGACCATCCGTTTCTCTGTGCTTTTGGGTGTTGGCGTTGATGCATGCAAGAAGCGGTTCCCTCGGCAGTGTTTCCTAAGGCGGCTGCCGCAGCCATGACGCAGGCGCGGCAGCAGGGGGGTCGGGCCGAGGACGGAGCTCAAAGAATTGGATGGAGGGCGTTTTAGATGAAGCCTATAGGTCTAGGGATCCAATCGTACCTTCTCAGGTGATGTGTTCGACACTGTTATGTAGGTGCCAAAACGTCGGGTACAGTCGTACCGAACCTGAGAAGGTACGACTGGATCCCTATAGGTAAGGGTAGGTAAGCTTACAAGATGTTGCAACAGTTCCTTGAGTGTCACATGGGATACACGCACGGTGTTCGGGGGGGGGCGGGGTCAGGGACCTTGCGTGTCAAAGATCAGAAGACTGTTGAAGAGTTCCGGCCTATGGTTGACCATGTCCTGCTTTGAGCAGAGAAGGGGTTTCACGTCTTTGACCTCCGATTTTTGTGAGATTCTTCCGCCAGATTTGCTTGGCTTCCTTGGGCAAGCTACTTACCTAAGTAGTCTATTTCGGTACCCCAACGTAACTGGAGAAGCCCTGATCCAAAGCATCAACCAAACAGGTCCCGCACCCGCTCCCCATCGGTTCGCAGTGGCCTTATCCAGCCCTCAGGATGTCAGCTTTCCTCGCGCCGATACAGATGCCTGGCCCTTGGAGTCTAGGGATGACTCCACAGTTGTGGTAGCTATATCCCCACTGTATCATATGACATAATTATACAACAATATCATGCACAATATGCACAGTATCATGATCATTCATGCACATGTTCCACGTACTTAAAATTCAGGGATTGGTGGCCACTGCAAGGGCATTTGGTCTTTTCTATGTGTCACTGAGGTTGTTAGATTTGTTACAAGCCCTTTGAAGGACGATGAAGAATATGTTCAATGAGGTGGAGCGCAAGGGAGAACAAAGAAATGAATTGCACCTAAGGCACATTCTCCACCACAACATGAAGGTGCTCATGATGAGAACGTTCCAACTAGCCCTGCTATGGAGGAATAGCATGATGAAGATGATTTGGATGGTTCTCCCTCGAAGAAAAGTACTGAAAGAACTCGGTACCAGCACCAGGAAGCCCCACCACTTCTTCCAGGGTCCACAGTCGTCGTTCAGGGTGCTGAGAGTCACATGCAACAGCTACAGCTATTGTGGTGGAAAGCACGCAACAGATGTGCACAACATGATATGCCACTTGCGCCTTTGAAGAGAGGGGTAGAGATGAGAATGATTGGCACATCTTTCTAACCCTCAAGCGACATTGGGTTCTCGCAACGCCAACGCGCAAAAACAAATGTTGGGGATGTAACAGTACAGTCACATTCGTCCAGTGATATGGATGATTTGTGTGACACCGACCCCGTTTTTAAGATCACACACACAGACACACACCTGGACTCCAGTTAAACGACACTTGGAAGTCTCATATCCGGTTTGTGGCTGGTTTGTGGCGATAGATTCGATAGATGAATCGGCGACTTTGAAGTTGTTGAGGCCATGTTCACTGCTTGTTGCAGCCTACCTTGCTGTGTGGGGTCAAAAGTGGCAGCCGCAATTGTTGGGGACATGCATTTGCATGTTAACTTCAATCCAATACATAACCTGATGTTGCTGCTTCACTGCTGCTTCACTTGATTCAAACAAAAAGACTGGTGATTGCGCCACTTCTTTGATTGGGTACATGTTGTGGTTACCGTAAAGCATGATGAAACCGTGGCAATGCAGGGTCGGAGGGAGAAATCCAGTGAAGTCAGACCCAAAAAAACGTTGCGTTTATTTGGCCAAACGCAGTCGGCCGTACTAACGTTTTTGTGGAGTCACCCTAGCCTTCCAAGACCATTTAAAGAATGGTCGACCTGGTCTTGTAGTCTAAAATCCTTACACTATCTATAGATAGTTTTATAGGTATATATATATATGCATGTATATAATGGTGTAATATATATATATAGGTGGTTCTTATATACCGCTTTTTGCGAATCACTCATTCTTTGGTGGTTGGCATGTCGTCAGGGCACGTCATGTTCCAAGAATTGGCGGCTTCATCCGATGGCACGGTGCTCAGATCATCAAAACCGACGACATGATGGCGGCGCTGCCCGTGCGTGGGCGCTTGTGGGCGGGAGAAGGTGATGAAGATGTCCGCTACTGATCGATGCAAATTCTGTTTGTTGGACAATGAACTTGCTCTGTTTGAATCCAATGTAAGAACCCTCCTGCCCAGAGAATTATGGTAGATTTGGGTTCAATTAACGAAGTGGTCATGGACTACGGTGCCAGCAAACAAAGCCACGAACACCAGAGTGTTCTCCTCCTAGCCTTGCCACTGTTCTCCTATTCAAGGCAATGCTGAAGTATATTGATGACATTCTGAACACAAAAACGTCCTCCCACTTCTGGACATTCCTGGTATCATGTGTCAAATGTTCCTTTTTTAAGGGGGAGATGATTATATTTCGTAGTGAACACTTGGTGAGTGCAAATTTGGATGTGTTTTAATACGAAGGTCTCCAATCAATAGGTTGTGGGTTGGTTTTGGTCTATTTCCAGAAGGGTCTTTGGCGGATCATTAATTCTAATACACTCATTTGGATGGCCTGGAGATTGCTGGAGATTCGGGGTTCATGATCGACGACATCGGAAGAGAAGAAGATATCAACCAGACATCATCCTTCGGTGTCACAGCCAAGACAAATCTCCACGGGACATCAT